AAATATATAGTTATAAAAATTAAACTTACTTTAAAAAGTCATTATTTGTCAAAACAAACATTGGTATTCCCCATTTCCAAAATTTTGTTTATCTAATACAAAGGCATATAATTAACTTTTCTGTACTATATCTTTTGAAAGTAGTAACTTTTTTTCTCAAAGAAGGGATACCAGCTTAATTAATATATAACAGTAATACTATCTTGTTTTTTTATCACATGTATGTTTGTGGGAAAATAATATAAAGGAAAACTACTACTTAGCAGTGAGTTTAGTTTAAACATATATTATTTCCATATATTATTCTTAATTACCAAAACAATACATTATATAGTGTTTTTCTTTCCTTTAAATTTTACTTTATCCTGTTGGCAGTGATATGTGTTCCAATTGTTTATTACTTCTCTCCCATGTCACCACCCTAGCGACGACTCCATTATCATTTCCATAACACCGTCTGGAATTATTACAGGAAGCATCTTCTTTCTGACCTTGACTCCACCACTGTTTCAAGTGTTGATGCCTTTGAACATACCCTAACATCAGCTCTTTCCTCTGCAAGTGATTGCTCGATCCCCTCTTTGCTGTCATATAATTTTCGTCCCTCCATACCTCAATGAGCCATCACACTTCCCTGTGCCTCCTCACTCCTCCAGGACTATCGCCATTATCATGGTCCATTTGTTTTACACCAATCTAGAGGTCTCCAATGCACAGCCATAAATTTCATTCAAGCTATTAAACATCGCCGTTGGCATTACCTGTGCAACAGACTTCGTCATTCCCCTTCCTCCTCTCAGTTTCGCATCCTCATTGGCCAGTACCACTCCCCTTCCTATTGTATCCTTGTGGATGGTCTGGTTCCTTTTACCACGCTCCTCAAAGCCAATGCTTTTGCACACCACTTTGAGTCACAGTTTAATCTTCCACTACCACATTCCCTTGACTTTGATGATTGCTCCGACATTTTATGACTGTCTGATCATACTTCTCTGACTCTTCGCCCCTCTCTCACTAATGTTCTGAAAACCAACTCCCTGTGTGCTCTAATTACGGCTCCAGATGTTGCAACTCCATCCCTGGTCCAAATGGTCTCACCTATTTCCATCTCTCCAATGCTCCTGCTCAGTTTATTTCCCTATTGGCCTTATTCTACACTTTTCTACTTTGCACAGGTTTCTTCCCTACCACTTGGAAGTTATCAACCATCTTTCTTTTCCGGAAACCATCCAAGCCACCAGTTCAACTAAATTCCTATAGGCCCATCAGTTTAACCAGTGTCCCAGCAAGACTTTTGAATACATCTCCACTGCAGATCAGCTTCTCA